TCAGGGACAGACACAGAATTGTTACTGAGGGACACAGAATTGTTACTGAGGGACACAGAATTGTTACTCAGGGACAGACACAGAATTGTTACTGAGGGACACAGAATTGTTACTGAGGGACACAGAATTGTTACTAGGGACACAGAATTGTTACTCAGGGACAGACACAGAATTGTTACTGAGGGACACAGAATTGTTACTCAGGGACACAGAATTGTTACTGAGGGACACAGAATTGTTACTCAGGGACACAGAATTGTTACTCAGGGACACAGAATTGTTACTGAGGGACACAGAATTGTTACTCAGGGACACAGAATTGTTACTCAGGGACACAGAATTGTTACTGGGACAGGGACACAGAATTGTTACTCAGGGACACAGAATTGTTACTCAGGGACACAGAATTGTTACTCAGGGACACAGAATTGTTACTCAGGGACACAGAATTGTTACTCAGGGACACAGAATTGTTACTCAGGGACACAGAATTGTTACTGAGGGACACAGAATTGTTACTGAGGGACAGAATTGTTACTCAGGGAACAGAATTGTTACTCAGGGACACAGAATTGTTACTCAGGGACACAGAATTGTTACTCAGGGACACAGAATTGTTACTCAGGGACAGAGAATTGTTACTGAGGGACACAGAATTGTTACTGAGGGACACAGAATTGTTACTCAGGGACAGACACAGAATTGTTACTGAGGGACACAGAATTGTTACTGAGGGACACAGAATTGTTACTCAGGGACACAGAATTGTTACTCAGGGACACAGAATTGTTACTGAGGGACACAGAATTGTTACTGAGGGACACACAGAATTGTTACTCAGGGACACAGAATTGTTACTCAGGGACAGAATTGTTACTACAGGGACACAGAATTGTTACTCAGGGACAGACACAGAATTGTTACTGAGGGACACAGAATTGTTACTCAGGGACACAGAATTGTTACTGAGGGACACAGAATTGTTACTCAGGGACAGACACAGAATTGTTACTGAGGGACACAGAATTGTTACTGAGGGACACAGAATTGTTACTCAGGGACTCAGGGACACAGAATTGTTACTCAGGGACACAGAATTGTTACTCAGGGACACAGAATTGTTACTCAGGGACACAGAATTGTTACTCAGGGACAGACACAGAATTGTTACTGAGGGACACAGAATTGTTACTGAGGGACACAGAATTGTTACTGAGGGACACAGAATTGTTACTCAGGGACACAGAATTGTTACTCAGGGACACAGAATTGTTACTCAGGGGACACAGAATTGTTACTCAGGGACACAGAATTGTTACTCAGGGACACAGAATTGTTACTCAGGGACACAGAATTGTTACTCAGGGACACAGAATTGTTACTCAGGGACACAGAATTGTTACTGAGGGACACAGAATTGTTACTCAGGGGACACAGAATTGTTACTCAGGGACAGACACAGAATTGTTACTGAGGGACACAGAATTGTTACTGAGGGACACAGAATTGTTACTCAGGGGACACAGAATTGTTACTCAGGGACACAGAACTGTTACTCAGGGACACAGAATTGTTACTCAGGGACAGACACAGAATTGTTACTCAGGGACACAGAATTGTTACTGAGGGACACAGAATTGTTACTCAGGGACACAGAATTGTTACTCAGGGACACAGAATTGTTACTCAGGGACACAGAATTGTTACTCAGGGACACAGAATTGTTACTCAGGGACACAGAATTGTTACTCAGGGACACAGAATTGTTACTCAGGGACAGACACAGAATTGTTACTGAGGGACACAGAATTGTTACTGAGGGACACAGAATTGTTACTGAGGGACACAGAATTGTTACTCAGGGACAGACACAGAATTGTTACTGAGGGACACAGAATTGTTACTGAGGGACACAGAATTGTTACTCAGGGACACACACAGAATTGTTACTCAGGGACACAGAATTGTTACTCAGGGGGACACAGAATTGTTACTGAGGGACACAGAATTGTTACTCAGGGACACAGAATTGTTACTCAGGGACAGACACAGAATTGTTACTGAGGGACACAGAATTGTTACTCAGGGACAGACACAGAATTGTTACTGAGGGACACAGAATTGTTACTCAGGGACAGACACAGAATTGTTACTCAGGGACACAGAATTGTTACTCAGGGACACAGAATTGTTACTCAGGGACACAGAATTGTTACTCAGGGACACAGAATTGTTACTCAGGGACAGACACCGAATTGTTACTGAGGGACACAGAATTGTTACTGAGGGACACAGAATTTGTTACTCAGGGACACAGAATTGTTACTCAGGGACACAGAATTGTTACTCAGGGACACAGAATTGTTACTCAGGGACACAGAATTGTTACTCAGGGGGACACACAGAATTGTTACTGAGGGACACAGAATTGTTACTGAGGGACACAGAATTGTTACTGAGGGACACAGAATTGTTACTCAGGGACAGACAGAATTGTTACTGAGGGACACAGAATTGTTACTCAGGGACAGACACAGAATTGTTACTGAGGGACACAAATTGTTACTCAGGGACACAGAATTGTTACTGAGGGACACAGAATTGTTACTCAGGGACAGACACAGAATTGTTACTGAGGGACACAGAATTGTTACTGAGGGACACAGAATTGTTACTCAGGGACACACAGAATTGTTACTCAGGGACACAGAACTGTTACTCAGGGACACAGAATTGTTACTCAGGGACACAGAATTGTTACTCAGGGACACAGAATTGTTACTCAGGGACACACAGAATTGTTACTGAGGGACACAGAATTGTTACTGAGGGACACAGAATTGTTACTCAGGGACACAGAATTGTTACTCAGGGACAGACACAGAATTGTTACTGAGGGACACAGAATTGTTACTGAGGGACACAGAAATTGTTACTCAGGGACACAGAATTGTTACTGAGGGACACAGAATTGTTACTGAGGGACACAGAATTGTTACTCAGGGACACAGAATTGTTACTCAGGGACAGAATTGTTACAGAATTGTTACTGAGGGACACAGAATTGTTACTCAGGGACAGACACAGAATTGTTACTGAGGGACACAGAATTGTTACTCAGGGACAGACACAGAATTGTTACTGAGGGACACAGAATTGTTACTCAGGGACAGACACAGAATTGTTACTGAGGGACACAGAATTGTTACTGAGGGACACAGAAATTGTTACTGAGGGACACAGAATTGTTACTCAGGGACACAGAATTGTTACTCAGGGACACAGAATTGTTACTCAGGGACACACAGAATTGTTACTGAGGGACACAGAATTGTTACTGAGGGACACAGAATTGTTACTGAGGGACACAGAATTGTTACTCAGGGACAGACACAGAATTGTTACTTAGGGACACAGAATTGTTACTGAGGGGACACAGAATTGTTACTCAGGGACACAGACACAGAATTGTTACTCAGGGACACAGAATCGTTACTCAGGGACACAGAATCGTTGAATTAAAGAGTATGTCAGACAACACGCAGAGGAGTGGCAGAGGAGGCAATGTTTCAGGAGCGAGAGCAGAATTGTGGCAGCAGAGGAAGGGGTCGAGACAGCACTAGTCGCAGCCAGAGGCCAGTGCTCCCGGTGTCATCCAGCGGTCGTGTCTCCACCGACAACCCTGCCGTCATCGATTGGTTGGCTCGGTCGTCTTCCTCTTCCCAGGTCACCTCTGACACCTACAGCCAATGGTCGGTGGGTACGTCAGACACAACCGTTAGTTGGCATGGCCCGGGAGCAAGCCCACTGAAATCACGTGTCCTCTACCTGCCCCTGTCCTTTGGTGTTCCCTCACCAAGCGAAGTATCGCATGCTGTGGGCTCAGCCCCACTGTACAGTGAGGAAGAGCTAACAGAGGGCGGTCAGGAACGGGGGGAGACATCCGCCTCTTCAGCAGCCAGGCGAAGAAGTACTGGCGAGGAGAGTGGCTCGGTAGCCGGTCTAGAGACAGGTCTGTCTCCTGACCCACACGCAGCCGAGGGGGCTAGTAGTGAGGCGGAGACCCTAATTGATGATGATGATGAGGCTGATCGCACTTGGCAGCCTCGTCGTCATCAGGCTAATTGCTTCCGCATCATCAGGAGAAGAGGGTGCCAGCTTGGCAGCGAGCAAAACAGTCGGTGGGTTGCCCAGGAGGCAGCAGGGTCGCAGCAGTGTCAGTGGAGGCAAACGGCCACGGAGTAGAGCACCAGCTCCACTGCAGCCTACCACCACGGCCAGTAGTGGTGCCGGTGTGCACGGAGGAAGTAGCAGTCAGCCAGTGAGGAGTAGCGGGGGCAAAGTTTCCTACTCGGCGGTGTGGGCAATTTTTTCGTTCAGCCGCCCGAGGAAGTAAACGTAGCCGTATGTCGACTATGTGGCCAGAAAGTCAAGCGTGGCCAGGGGGCCCATGTCTCCATCGCCACACTCTGGTATGTGCCACTTTCAGGTCTCCTCACACTGCTGGTGGGTTCCATTTTGTCATAGGGTGCTGGCAGATTACGGGCCTCCCCCATTGCTGCTGCCAGGCCCGTAATCTGCCATGGGCCCCGTACCGCCTCCTCATGCTGCTGCCAGGTCCAGAGTGTCTCATGGGTCCCTGTACGGCCTCCCATTGCTGCTGTCTCCATCGCCACACTCTGCCATGTGCCACTTTCAGGTCTCCTCACACTGCTGGTGGGTTCCATTTTGTCATAGGGTGCTGGCAGATTACGGGCCTCCCATTGCTGCTGCCAGGCCCGTAATCTGCCATGGGCCCCCGTACCGCCTCCTCATGCTGCTGCCAGGTCCACAGTGTCTCATGGGTCCCTGTACGGCCTCCCATTGCTGCTGTCTCCATCGCCAACACTGTGCCATGTGCCACTTTCAGGTCTCCTCACACTGCTGGTGGGTTCCATTTTGACATAGGGTGCTGGCAGATTACGGGCCTCCCATTGCTGCTGCCAGGCCTGTAATCTGCCATGGGCCCCTGTACCGCCTCCTCATGCTGCTGCCAGGTCCAGAGTGTCTCATGGGTCCCTGTACGGCCTCCCATTGCTGCTGTCTCCATCGCCACACTCTGCCATGTGCCACTTTCAGGTCTCCTCACACTGCTGGTGGGTTCCATTTTGTCATAGGGTGCTGGCAGATTACGGGCCTCCCATTGCTGCTGCCAGGCGCGTAATCTGCCATGGGCCCCCGTACCGCCTCCTCATGCTGCTGCCAGGTCCAGAGTGTCTCTCATGGGTCCCTGTACGGCCTCCCATTGCTGCTGTCTCCATTGCCACACACTGTGCCATGTGCCACTTTCAGGTCTCCTCACACTGCTGGTGGGTTCCATTTTGTCATAGGGTGCTGGCAGATTACGGGCCTCCCATTGCTGCTGCCAGGCCCGTAATCTGCCATGGGCCCCCGTACCGACTCCTCATGCTGCTGCCAGGCCCGTAATCTGTCATGGGCCCCTGTACCGCCTCCTCATGCTGCTGCCAGGTCCGAGTCTCTCATGGGTCCCTGTACGGCCTCCCATTGCTGCTGTCTCCATCGCCACACTCTGCCATGTGCCACTTTCAGGTCTCCTCACACTGCTGGTGGGTTCCATTTTGTCATAGGGTGCTGGCAGATTACGGGCCTCCCATTGCTGCTGCCAGGCGCGTAATCTGCCATGGGCCCCTGTACCGCCTCCTCATGCTGCTGCCAGGTCCAGAGTGTCTCATGGTCCCTGTACGGCCTCCCATTGCTGCTGTCTCCATCGCCACACTGTGCCATGTGCCACTTTCAGGTCTCCTCACACTGCTGGTGGGTTCCATTTTGTCATAGGGTGCTGGCAGATTACGGGCCTCACATTGCTGCTGCCAGGCCCGTAATCTGCCATGGGCCCCCGTACCGCCTCCTCATGCTGCTGCCAGGTCCAGAGTGTCTCATGGGTCCCTGTACGGCCTCCCATTGCTGCTGTCTCCATCGCAACACTGTGCCATGTGCCACTTTCAGGTCTCCTCACACTGCTGGTGGGTTCCATTTTGTCATAGGGTGCTGGCAGATTACGGGCCTCCCATTGCTGCTGCCAGGCCCGTAATCTGCCATGGGCCCCTGTACCACCTCCTCATGCTGCTGCCAGGCCCGTAATCTGCCATGGGTCCCTGTACGGCCTCCCATTGCTGCTGTCTCCATCGCCACACTGTGCCATGTGCCACTTTCAGGTCTCCTCACACTGCTGGTGGGTTCCATTTTGTCATAGGGTGCTGGCAGATTACGGGCCTCCCATTGCTGCTGCCAGGCCCGTGATCTGCCATGGGCCCCCGTACCGACTCCTCATGCTGCTGCCAGGCCCGTAATCTGCCATGGGCCCCCGTACCGCCTCCTCATGCTGCTGCCAGGTCCAGAGTGTCTCATGGGTCCCTGTACGGCCTCCCATTGCTGCTGTCTCCATCGCCACACTGTGCCATGTGCCACTTTCAGGTCTCCTCACACTGCTGGTGGGTTCCATTTTGTCATAGGGTGCTGGCAGATTAAGGGCCTCCCATTGCTGCTGCCAGGCCCGTAATCTGCCATGGGCCCCCGTACCGCCTCCTCATGCTGCTGCCAGGTCCAGAGTGTCTCATGGGTCCCTGTACGGCCTCCCATTGCTGCTGTCTCCATCGCCACACTCTGCCATGTGCCACTTTCAGGTCTCCTCACACTGCCGGTGGGTTCCATTTTGTCATAGGGTGCTGTATGGCCTCCCATTGCTGCTGCCTCCACCGCCACACTGTGGCTCCACACTCTGGTTTTGGCCCCGTGACTGCCCAAATGAGTGAAGTGTGCGGTGATTCTAAGATCGACGGCACTCATCTGCATGTCATACTGACTGACAGTATTATTTCTCTTCCCCAGCAGACTCCAAGGGCATTTAAATTAAAGGTACAGTGTTCTGCACTAATATAAAGGCTCTCTGAAGCCTAGAAACACCCTTTTTATAAGTTAAATTCGCAGCGAAATATATTCGACTCGAATCGAATTTATTCCGCGAATTCGCCGAATCAGCCGAATCGAATTTTTGAATACTTCGCTCATCTCTAATCATTATCTTTTATTGCACCCTTGCTAGCAATATCCATATAGTAATATAGGGGAAGATTTATTAAAGTTGGAGCACTCAGAATCTGGTGCAGCCCTGTGTGGTAGCCAATCAGCTTTACACTTCAGCTTGTTCAATTAACCTTTGACAATAGGTCCTCATACACACTGGACGTTTTTACAGATGTTGTTTTTGGCTTTTGGCTTTTTTTCTACAGCCAGTAAACCCTCCAGCATGCTATCTTATGTGTCCATGGACACATAGACTGTAATCAATGTTTGTTGGCAGGGTCGTTTTGTGTCTGGGAAAAAAACACAGAACTAGTAGGTTTCTAGAGGAGTTTTTTAGCTGTAAAAACTATCTAACTCTGAAAAATGCGGCAAAATGCGGTAAAACATGGCAAACTGGCATTTGTCGTTTTGCATAAGAATGACCGATTTTCTATGCGGTGGTATGAAGGTCGTACGAAAAAAAATCTATCTAGTGCTATCACGCATGAGCGGAAACAAATGACTCGGATGTTTATGTCCAAAGTAATCTTCGTAACTACGAACGAAAAATCCAAATGTTAAAAGTAGATTGGCCTAATGAGATAATGAAACCAAATTTAAGCATATTATATATTTATGTATCACTATTTATGTATATAGATAATGTAATAAACTATACTATACTCATTGCTGTTAATTGTTGTGTATATCGCTTGTTCTGTCCAGAAGGGCATGGCTGCAAGGTCACACGCACACTACATCACTTCCACTTGTACAGAAGACGTCAACACTACGTATTGCCCGAACTATTTTTTTAGATTGGGTAATGTGGGCCACAATTTTGACCAACGAACGAACGCCATTCGGTCGTCGGATGACCGATCAGTTGATTTTCTAATCGTGTATTCCCACCTTAAGTTCTCATGCACACTGGACGTTTTTACAGCTGCTGTTTTTGGCTTTTGGCGTTTTTTTCTACAGCCAATGAACTCCCCAGCATTTTATCCTATGTGTTCATGCACACATAGACTGTAATCAACGTTTTTTGGCAGGGGCATTTTTTGGCTGGAAACAAATCCAGAATTAGTGGATTTCTAAAGATTTTTAGCTGTAAAAACGCTCTAACACTGAAAAACACAGCAAAACGTGGTAAAACGCTGCAAATCGGCATTTTTGGACTTTTTATGAGAAAAAAAGGTTTTCTATGGTTAAAAAAAAGCTAAAAACACAAATGTGAAAAAATGTAGCAAAATGCCGCTAAACACTAATGCAAAAACACTAAAAAAACGTTGACAAACTCAGTGTATCGATGCGACAGTCCATATATTGACAACAGGGAAAAATCATTTCATACTGCTTGCTTTGTATATGAATTGAAATAGACATTTTTATGATAGTATAAATATGCTTTTATTAAAAACTTTTACAATTGAACATTGTCTCCTTTAAAATATGCACATTGTGAGTGTACGCAATGCTCCCAGTGATTTTTCCATTCTTCATAGCATCCCTGGAAGTCTTCAAGCTGGATGGTTTTCAGAGCCTGCGTAGTGGCTGTTTGGACATTATCCACACTACCAAAGTGGTGTCCTATCAAACCCTTCTTCATCTTTGAGAATATGAAAAAGTCTCAAGGAGCCAAGTTGGAGCTCTAGGGTGGATGGAGAAGCACCGTGATGTGTTTTTCAGCCAAAAACTCTCTGACAGCCCAAGGACTGTGACGTTGTTGTGATGAAAGATCCAAGTTGAGCCGATCTCAGAACACACACGAAAAACACTTTGTCTCAATAAACCAAAAACTTCCAGGGAAAATCTTTGATTCACAGTTTTACTAGTAGGTACTAATTTCTTATGGACAATTCTATGTGAATCAACAAAAACAATGACTATTGATTTGACTTTTGATTTGCTCATTCCAGCTCTTTGGGGGAGGTGACGTGGGTGTGCCATTCTGAATTTTGTTTCTTCATCTCGGGATTGTACTCAAACACCCAGGATTCATCTCCCGTGATCACTCAACCCAAAAAATCAGGCTCTATTTTCAAATGGACCAGACAGTCTTGGCAAATGAGTTGACAGTGTTCCTTCTGATCAGAAGAGTTGAAGAGATGAAGCTATCATAGCTGCAAAGGGTGGGCCAACTCAATATTGAACCCTTTGAACTAAGACTGGGATGGCATTAAAATTCATGTGCATGTAAAGGCAGGCGTCCCAATACTTTTGGCAATATAGTATATATATATATATATATATATGTGCACTGTATAGTACACTCTGCACTGGGGGGGGGGGGGGTTCACAGTGGCCTGGAGGGGGTAGGTATAAAAAATATTTGTGCTGGAAGGAGTGATTTGGTTGGGAGGGGGGGGCGACAGGTAAGAGAAAACATGCTGGGGCAATTTGGAAGAGGAGAGGATTTGTGGAGAAAGGGAAGAGCTGCTGGCAAATGGGCAGTTGTGCTAGAAGGAGGAAGAGGATTTGTGTTGGGAGGGGGGGATCGGGAGGGAGATTTGTGCTAGGAGAGTGGATTTGTGAGGAGATAAGCATCTGCACTAGAAGAAAGATTTGGGGAAGGGAGAAGAGGGAGAAGTGCATTTGCACTGGAAGGAAGATTTAGGGGGGAGAGTTTTGCTAGAAGTGGAGAGAAAACTTTTGCTGGGGGGAAAGTTGTGCTGAGATGGAAAATTGGGGGGGGGGGGATATTCATGCTGGGGGGAATGAGGAAAACGATATGTGCCAGAAGGTGGAAATTGGGGAGTGGAAAATGATTTGTGCTGGGGGGGGCAATTTGTTCTGGGAAGACAAATATGGGTTGACAATGATTTGTACTGGGAGGGGGGATTAGGGGAAAGCGGATATGTTCTGAGGGGATTGGGGAGAAGGAGGATCTCTGTTGGGGAGATACTTGGAGGGGAAGAACATTTTTACTAGAAGGGGGATTTGGAGTGGTTGTGGGGAGATTTGTGTTGGAAGTGGGGGAATGAGGGGGAGAGGAATTGTGATGGGGACCAAAAATTTATTCTGGGAGGAGTGAGTATGCAGAATAGTGTTGGATTTCTTCTGGGGGACAAGAAGTGGGGACTTTTGCTGAAAGGGTAAAGAGGGTAGGAGTATTGCTTGAGGGGAACATTTTGTACTGTCCTGCCCCCTGAACCATGTATTACACTACCCTGACTCCTGCACACTTTTTGTTGTGCACTCCTGACCCCTACCGTAAATTACATACTCCTGACCCTGCTCTCTGTGTATGATGTACTCCTAAACCCGACACTGACTGCATTACATAGTCCTGACCCTTGCACTCCAGTGCACACTTCAGTCCCCTGCACTCTGACTTACAGACTCCTGCACTATACATACTGTATTGTACATTACATACTTCTGTCAGGGATCCCTTCCGTGCAGCCATGCGATGGCGGTGCGAGTGCGCATGCGCGAGAGCGCGCGGACGCGCATGCGCAGGAGAGTGCGAGTGCGCGCAGTAGCGTACACATCAACGCAAGGCGGGCTATTTAAACCTGCAATACAGTTTAGTCAATGCCTTCTGGTCTATAATGTTCTGCACTCCATAATATGATTCTTTTTCCTGTATCTGATCTGACCTGACTAAGAAAGAACTCCGCCTGCACTGACCCCGGTTTATCCCTGACTATCCGCTTGCCTGCTCCTTTGTACTTGATTTGTTCGTTTGATCCTGACTCGGCTTGTCTGACTCTGCTGCACCTAATTACCTGTATCTGCACCTGGCTTGTATCCTGATTGCTGCCATACTTACCTGCTGCTGCACCCACGGTCCTGCACCTGGCCTGCATCCTGGTCACCGCCATACTTACCTGCTGCTGCACCCACGGTCCTGCACCTGGCCTGCATCCTGGTTACCACCATACCTGCCTGCTGCCCGCGTCCACGCTCCTGTGTCTGTTCCCGGTCTGTTCCTGTATCCCATGTTCCTGTATCCACACCTGGCCTGCATACGGATCTCCTGGGTCTTCACTTGCCTGCTACCAGCTCCAGACCTACCTAGCAGTCATGCCACTCCTGGCTCTGCGCCCTCTGTTCCCACTATCAGTGGCTCCAAGAGGGAGTAGTAAGAGGACGCTTCCTCTCCACGTCAGGCTCCACAACCAGGTACGTGACACTCACCAAAGTATTCATTGTCTTAAGAGTTGCTGGTTGCCAAGCAGTTCCTTACTATTTTAATGAAATTCTTCTTTAAGGTAAAGTGTTAGCTTGCTGTCTATTTTCAGTGTGCACAAAATCATATGTAGTAGAAGAGTCTCATTTTTTTAATTGATTGCGCTGAGGTTTATATGTGTCTGTGGGACTCAAGCTTGTGGCACAGCAATCAAAGCACATTATGTAGGTACATGTAAGCCTGGGTTTTGTTTAACCACCTCCTGCTCAGCCATCATTTTTCTGCTATCCTGGGTTTATGTCATATGATATCCTCTCAGGAGCGGGCTGTGCTGCAGCCTGATATGTCACCTTCTGTGTCCACCGGACACAACAGATGACAGATCAGTGTACCAATGTGTACTATTGTGATTAGCTGATTGGCCACAGGTAATCTCATGGTACAGATGGGCTGTGATTGGCCCTCTCTGTACCCAATCACAACAGATCACATGGCAATTGTACACAATGAATGGCTTCCATTCATAGCCATTCATTGTATACTATGGTGCTGATCATTGTGATTAGTCACAGTGATCACATGGTACAGACAGGGCCAATCACAGCTAATCACAATAGTACACATTGGTACACTGATCTGTCATCTGTTGTGTCCGGTGGACACAGAAGGTGACATATCAGCCCGCTCGTGAGAGGATATCATATGACATAAACCCAGGATCCAGCATGTTAAAAAAAAAACA